TTTAGTCTGTCTTCTGCTGTTTGTGTATTGTTAGTTACATTTAATAGTGTATTTATGCCATGTATTAGGGGCCCTAAATTTGCCCCTAGTTTTACATTGATAATCTTCTTAGTTACACATTTTACGTTTAAGTTGTTGATCCATCTTGGTTTAGTTTTTGTGTGTGATGTGAGGTATGGATCTTGTTTCATTTTTCTGCAAATGGATATTCAATTTTGCCTGCACTATTTGTTAAAGAGACTAGCTCTTCCCCATTTCATGGCTTTCGACCCTTTGTCAAAGATCAGTTGTCTATAGGTAGATAGATTTGGTTTTTCTTTCTCAATTCTATTCCATTGGTCTTTGTGTCTGTCATGGTACCAATACCAGGGTGTTTTGACTATTGTAGCTGTTGACTAGATTTAGAGATTGAGGCATGTTCTGGTTACCTAGTACCGCTCTGACAAGAATGTACCACAAATGGGATGGCCTTACCAAACAGGAGTTTGTTCTTTACAGTTTGGAGACTTTTAAGTCCAAGTTCAAAGTGTCAGGCTCTGGGGGCTGTGTGAAATCCCCTTGACCTTGGGCTTCAGCTTTGCCTCTTGCTCCCAGCCCACTGAAGCTAGAGGCATTTCTTTACTCCGGCAGCTGCTGGCTGCTGAGACTAACAAGCCCAAGGTGGACAAATAAAACGGCACATTGCTGATGTTACCAAACCAAATGGCAAGCCATTAATTCAAGTCCATTATAAGTCCCAAGGTCGGCAGACCATGGCAGGCTGCTGAACAACGACATGGCTACATGCAGGGTTCACACGTGCCGTAAGCTAGAGACTATCCCCAAAGCTTCTCATTATATACAGGAAGCAGACCACATTCTAAAGGCAGCTACTTTGTGATAGATCCCACCATGGAGTTGATTGCCACTCTCATGATGGGGAATAACTACCACCAGCTGCCTAGCCACTCAACCAGGCCCAGCCAAGTTGACACACAAATTGAACGACCACAGTTCTACCCCTTGTCAACTTGGCACCTGTACAGATCTTCATTGGGTGGCATCTGTACAGATCTCTCTCACTAGGTGGCTCCAACCCCCTAGTTCCTCTATATGGCAACCTCACCCCCTTGGCCTGGCAGGCCCTGTTTCTCTCCCTCTTGAGCATGGCATCCCAACCCCTCACTCTTGGGCAGCAGGTATGGCTCCATCCCACTAGCTCACATGAACGAGCAGCCCCATACTCCAGAACCGAGTTGGTGAAGGTCTAACTGTTTGAAACCTAGGGGGCTATTATGGTTCTACCCCCAAAGGCCATGATCCTACCCTTTGAGGCTGAGGCAGCTCTGTTTCCTGTTTCCTTAGTCTCTCTGCTTCTGCTGATTAATGCCAAAGGCAACCTACTCCACTGGAAATCTTGCTGTCCAAAAAGCACTCAGCTTTCTTGCTCTGTGGGCCAGCCAACCTGCTACACCATTTCGTGCCGGTCTCTTCTACCAATTAATGCCTGAAGGCAACCCACTCTGCCAGGAAGCCACCTGCCCAGTGGCAACCAGCTCTCTTCTCTGTGGGCTGGTAAGCCTTGCTGTTTAATGGCAGTCTCTGGGCTCTGCTCCTGCCATCTCTCATGCTAGTCTCTTGGCTCTGCTCCTGCTGTCTGTCATGCCATGTGCCGAGGTCACTTTGCCAGGGTCTTGGGACAAGGATGCACTCCACTCCTGTTTCCACATTTTAGGTATCTGTCAGAGCAGCACCCCACCTTCTTGGTACCATATTCTGTTGTGGTTACTTAGTGCCACTCTGACAAGAATATACCACAAATGGGATGGCCTTAACAAATAGGAGCTTATTCTCTTACAGTTTGGAGGCTTTAAGTCCAAGTTCAAAATGCCAGTGTCTAGGGGCTATGTGAAAGCCCCTCGACCTTGGGCTTCAGCTTTGCCTCTTGCTCCCGGCCCACTGAAGCTAGAGGCATCTCTTCATTCAGGCAGCTACTGGCTGCTGAGGCTAACAAGCCCCGGGTCAACAAATAAAATGGCACAGTCCTGATGTTATCAAACCAGATGGCAGGCCATTAATTCAAGTCCATTGTAAGTCCCAAGGTCAGCAGAGCATGGCAGGCTGCTGAGCAACAACGCGGCTACATTCAGGGTCCAAGCATGCCATAAGCTAGAGACTATCCCTATGGCTTTTCCTTACATACAGGAAGCAAACCACATTCCAAAGGCAGCTACTCAGCTGCTTGTGATAGATCCCACCATGGAGTTGATTGCCAGTCTCATCATGGGGAATAACTACCACCAGCTGCCCAGCCACTCAACCAGGCCCAGCCAAGTTGACACACAAACAACTATCACAGGGCGTATGTGGCCTCATACTTTGTTCTTCTGTGGGTAGTGCTTTGCTTATCCGGGTCTTTGACTTTTCCATATACCATTGGTGATTAGTTTCTCCATCTCTCTAAAGAATGAGGATGGATCACAATACCATTATATTTGTAGATTCCTTTGTAGTACTGACATTTTGTTTCAAAGGTTTTGTTATGTTGTGTTTTCATACTCTTTTTAATTCTAGGAATTTTTTATTTCACCTTACTATACAGGAGAGTTCCTACCCACCCCCCCAAATACCATATAACATAAATGCCCATTTTACAAAATGATACTGACTGGCACTCAGAGCAGGTTCAAAATTAGATAAGGGCTACAGAAGTGCAGTAATTCTCAGTCCCTCTAATTTTCTGCCAATTAGAACACATAAAAAATAAAAGTGTTTATGTATATTTTACTGACTTTTCTGTGAAAAATCTCATTAACTTAATACAGGTAGACATTTATTTTAATACGTATCAATATGACATTGATTTATAATTGTAAGGATATTTCCAATTCTCCAGTTGTAAAGTGAATTGAAACTATTGAGGTTTTAGAAGTTCTCTTTGGAGGGAGAACTTTAGGAAAAAGAATCTAGATTTTAAACTGTAGATATATTCTGGAAATAACTTGCAGAATACTGTTTAGTCCCTGTTTTATAAGCTACCATATCACCAATTTATTAATTTTTAAAGAAATGACTATACTTTATAATTGTATTTTAATTCTCTCTTGACCTTTCCAAAAAGATAAAAATAAAATGAAACACTTGGTACTCTTTTTCACTCTTTAATTTTTTATTTTTTTTTTAATGGTATAGCTGGAATGGGAGCAGACAAATCTATTCACAAGTGGATATCATGTGCTATTGCAGATGTAATGATACTTACACTCAGAGATCTGCAAACTAATTGAAAAAAACTGGTCATATACATGAGAATGTTATATAATGGTAGTTGGTGTTAAAACCTTAAAGAATAGTATGAATGGTTATAAATAGAGAATTGTGAGGAGAAATGTTAATTTTCCCATCTTTCCTATTTTGAAAGAGAAGATGAGTTTCTTTCATTAGTCAATGTAATTTATTTTTGTAGTATAGTAAATTACCTGGTACGGCTTTTCTAGCCATAAGTCTGTGTAAACTCAAAGGTAGAATTTGCCATGAGCAGCTGAGGAACTCCTGATTGTTAAAGTTATCCACCTGGGGTATTTCTGTTGAGAGTGGCACAAAGCAATGTTCTGGAAAGTTTGCGCTCTCTCAGGTGCTTAGAATTCTGATGTTATGATTGGTTGGTTTGGCCATACTGCCAGGCACAAAAAGGAGCCCTTATAGAAGCAGAAGTGTCTCTGACTGCTGGCTGAGAAAGATGTGCTGCTGAGAGAAACGTACTCTTGAGAGACACGTGCTGCTGAGAAAGAGACACTGAGAGACATAGATTGCTGGGAGAGAGAATTTGAGAGACATGCATTGCTGGGAGTGAGACAGAGAGACTGTTAGCTGAGAGAAAAAGGGCTGAGAGAGATTGAGCATTTTTTCTGAACTTGAATTGTAGCCTGGTGCTTCCCTAATAAACCCTATAATCTGTGAGTTCTATGTGGCCACTGCAGCGAATTATTGAACCCAGCAGAGAGGTGGTGGGTGCTGAGAGACGAATGGCTGGTGTCAGGGCTGGAGGGAGGTGGCACGTCTGGCTTCGTAGGTATAGGCCTTGGGCTACTGGTGGTGATTCTGTCTTCCTCTTGTGGGGTTAGAGGAGGTCAGAAGATGCGGCCTCCCTGCTCCTTTGACAATTGTATTACTAGAAATCTTATTTTTTAAATTTTATTTTAACCTCTTATTTTTGATGTGTCTTTAAGTGTTCTCTTAGGCCAACTTTTCTTTTCCTTTTTTCAGTTTTTATATTGGAAAAATCATATAGGTTGACCCAGGAGGAAAACATTAAAAAAAAAAAAGAAACTAAGTTTATCAACGATCTTTAATATACTTGCTGTTGTATGTGTCAACTAGCCAAATTAGGCATCCTTGTCCCAAACAGTGTTTCATATTGCGCTAAAGCATTTTTCAATTAATGATGCAAAAGGTAGAATAATCACCTTATTTTTAGCATTTTGCCATAGTAAACATACTCTTTTTTGTTTATTTGGTTTATTACTTTAGACATGAATCTTAAGAGGTCACAGGTAAGTACATGAAAAGATTTATGATCCTATGATTCTACCCAGCAAGGCTCTACTTATAATGAAAATGGTAATATTACTTCATCTGGTGAAAAGTTTGGACTGGAACTGGAGGGGGTAAAGGATACTGTCTACAAGGGGATCATTTTCTGAATCCATCCTGGAAACAAGCAACAGCCCTTATAGGAAACCTATTTGTTTCAAAGTTTTAAAAGTATGTAAATTTACAAATATGTGGGTTTTCGTTTTTCAAGTGGGGGCACCATCTCAGCTATAAGGCTAATTTTTTTTTCTTTCTTTAGAATGAATGAATGTAGTATGAAATAAAAATGTCTGAACTTCAAACTCAGAAAAGACAGTTTTGTCCAAGTCTGCTACAACAGCAATAAAAGGGAAAAAAAAAAAGTTTAAAAGACAAGAAAAAAAACTTGCATTTTGAGTTTTTTTTTTTTTTTTTAATTCTTCTTGCAGACTCAGTGTTCCTGAAAGTACACCTTTCACAGCAGTCTTAAAGTTTGCAGCAGAAGAAGTAAGTATAGACATTGGAGCACCCCTATATAGGATATAGTTTGTCAATATGTGTCAGAAATACTTACTGTATATGCACTTTGACCCCCATTTCAGCATGGATTAATTAGTCACTGGATTTATACTATCAAAGGTCCCTGGGTGGTATTAACAGTTTGCTCTTAGCTACTAACCTAAAGGTTGGCAGTTCGAACCCATGCAACGGTGCCACATAGGAAAGACCTGATGATCTGTTCTGTAAACCTTACAGCAAAGGAAACCTTATGAGAATTTCTGCTCAGTAACATGTGGGTAACTATGAGTCAGAATCAACTTGAGTATAACAATTTTGGTTTAGGCTTTTAAAAGTTAAGACTTAGATAGAAGAATGAAAGTTGAAGGAAGAATTTGTATTGAAAGTGAAAAGGCACCATTGATATGTGAGTTCTTTGGGGGGAAACAGAACTTTATATCACGCTGCTCTGAACCTTATGTTTTTACTAGCTTTGATTCTGGAATTGTAAGAGTTTTTATGTTTGTTTTATCTTTATTTTCCAAGTTTTTTTTATTGTGAGTATATGGTAAAACACTCATTAAAATGTTTTTGTTGTTGTTTTAACTGTCTAGTTTCTTAAAATGTGTTTGGATTTTCTGTTTTTAATTAAGAAATAAAATTTTTACATCTAAAATTATCAGAAACATTTATAAAGCAATTATTTCTTCTTGATGCTTAGAAAAGTAACTTGATCTGGTGGAAGAGGTACCAAAATGTGACTTGGGAGACTTAAGTTCTTGTTTTAATTGTATCATTAATTAGCCATGTAACATGGGGCAAGTCCTTCAGTTTCTCTCTTCACACTTTTTTAATATGTAAAATGTGAGTATTTCATGCCTGGCCTTCCTGATAACTGATTTTGATTAAAAGTCTAACAGCATTTATAAAAAAAAACTTTTCAAAATTAAAAGGACTATCTATACAAGTGGGAGCTCTGGTAGCATAGTGCCTAAGGCACTTGACTGCTAACCAGAAGGCTGGCAGTTCAAACCCACCAGCCACTCCTCAGAAGGAAGATGAGGCAATCTACTCCGTAGAGATACTGCCTCAGAAACCCAAGGAGGAGTCGCTATGAGTCGGGTCCGACTCGATGGCACATAACAACAACAACAATCTATACAACTACAGAATAACTCCAATCCAGATTTGTTGGTTCTGAATCTTCAGAAAAGTTTATAGTCAGAAAAATAATTTTAATAACTAAAACACCAGCTCCCTGTACTGAGGTGATTAATGGGAAGTCAGCCAAGCCAACAGTTCTCACAGCTCCTTATAAACTATTGTCAGGTCCCATATACATCATTTATCACTCCTTCAGAATTTAACTGAAAAGTGTTGTTCATGTTTTATAGTCAGTTTGATCTGTTCTTCATTCCAAAAGATAAGTAAAAAGAGATGGGAAACAAATTTGAATATAGCATTGTGTTTACTTTTGTCTGTTAGATCTCTTGTTAAGAAAGTCGTGCTTTGGTACATAACAAACCCCAAGATTTCCAGATTTAAGAAGAAGATCTGTATAAGCTATAATATCATTGTTATATATTTTCTAGTTATTTTATTTTCTTTCCTTTGTAAGGCAAGGACATTGTTGTGATTTTGGGCTTCTAGTTAAAGAATAAGAAAAACTAAAAGTTACACATGAAATCTTCATGCAAAGACATAAATCAGTTACATTGTTAATGTAGTTTATGTTTCATATGAATCACAAGTGTCACAAATTTAGAAAGAATATGACTTTCATGCAACTGTGAGAGGACTTTTCACAAAATGACATTGTAGAATCTTTCAATGAGAACAAATGTTGGCTTGAAGTACCAAAAGTTTGTAGATTTAAATTCCTAGTAAAATTCTCTTAATGAAAAAAAATTATAATTAAGTTCTCAAACACATGACAAAGGATTTATTTAACTAAGTAATCAAATGGCAAAGCCTAAGAGCTTTTTAATATCCTAAATTATGAATTTATGGGATCTGTTGAAAAATGCAAGTGAAAAATCTGAGGAGCATAAAATACACTTTGCACTCAAGAGAAAATTTGGTATGTACTGTATACAGTGGAAAGTAAAAATAGGAGTTACTGTATTTTACATTACTAGTGATTATTCCTCAAATTTCTGTTTAACTATTGCTTCCACATATTGAAAAAAAGGGGGGAAACGTTAGCAACTGCTTTTGTTTTTTACTGTTCATAAAATATGTTGCCATTACGTGGGTATGATTAAGAAAAACCATAGTTTTTCTTAAAATGGACATGATTTAAGGGTGCTACTCAATGGTATAGCTAAAATCTATATGATTCAAGTTTTAAAAACCTAAGATGTCTTATAATTAATTTGGGTATTTGATCAAAGTTTTATTAATATTATGTCTATAAAATTTTTTGAATTGTTAAAGTGCATTTTGATGTTGTCTAAAATAGCTTTATTATTTACATATTTAAAATCTTTGAAAGGACATTTACAATGAAATTTACTGAGAGTAAAATTATTTTTTAATTGTGAAATTATCCCATAGCAAGTAACTGTCTTATGCATAGAAAGTTCCTTTTTTAAAAATGTAGTTCTTCCATTAATAATGTAAAATAAGCTTTCAGTTGCTTTTTTGTAACTATGTATGTGTTACTATTATAGAGCATTTATTAACACTTGTGTTTTCCCCCAACCTCTACAACTATAAAATGGAAGAAAAAAAGTCTGAAAAATGGGCTCAGTGGCCAAAAATTTTGGGAAACACATTATATACTATTTCCTTCTTGGAATTAAATAAACTAAAACCAAAGACCAAACTCATTGGAGTCAAGTCATTTGCAAGTCATCACAACCCCATGTATTAGAGTAGAACTAAGCTCTGTAGGGTTTTTTTGGCTGTAATCTTTACAGAAGCAGCTCATTAGGTCTTCTTTTCATGGTGCCACCAGAAACTTGAGGTTCGTAATTGACCACAAACCATTTGTACCAACTAGGCACCTATTAGCAGCATATTAAATGCTTTTGAGAAGACTACTAACACCAGCTTAACCCATAACCCAGGGGCAGGCCAGGTGAGTAACCCAGGGTACGGAAGGCAAGGCAGATGTTTGGGTGTGCCCGGAGATAGGCCAGGTGAGCGAGCCAAGGCACAGAAGGCAAGATGGGCCTTGGAGCAGTTGGGTGGGGGGAGACCAGGAAGTGAGCGGATCACTTTTGAACAGCTATGGGAGACAAACTTGTCTGTCAGTTTGTTGTACTGTGACTTGCATGTTGCTGTGAGGCTGGAGGCTATGCCACCAGTGTTTCAAATGCCAGCAGAGTTACCCATGGTGGACAGGTTTCAGCAGAGCTTCCAGACTAAGACAGACTTGAAAGAAGGAAGAGACCATCCACTTCTAAAAGAATTAGCCAGTGAATACCTTACAAATAGCAGTGAAACACTGTATCACTGGAAAACTTTATGAAGAGCCTTGAAACATTGTCTGATACAGTGCCAGAAGATAAGCCCCTCAGGTCAGAAGACATTCAATATACTATTGGGAAAGAGTGGAGCTGACCATAATGATGAGGATAGAGAGTAAAGCTTTCGGGACCTCCATTTGTGGATGTGGCTTGTCTCAACGTGAGAAAAAATAGCTGCAAACATCCATTAATAATTGGAATGTGGAATGTACAAAGTATGAATCTAGGAAAACTAGAAGTTGTCAAAAATGAAATGGAACACGTAAAGATCGATATCCTAGGCATTAGTGAGCTGAAATGGACTGGTTTTAGCCATTTTGAATTAGACAATCATATGATGTACTATGCCATGAATGACAAGTTGAAGAGGATTGGCATGGCATTCATCATCACAAAGAATGTATCAAGATCTATGCTGAAGTACAGTGCTGTCAGTGACAGGATAATATCCATGAACCTACAAGGAAGATCAGTTAATACTACTATTATTTGAGTTTATGCACCAACCTCCAAAGCCAAAGATGAAGAAATTGAAGATTTTTATCAAATTCTGCAATCTGAAATTGACCAGACATGCAATCAAGAATTGTTAATTATCACTGGTGATTGGAATGCAAAAGGTAGAAACAGAAGAATCACCAGAAGATGGAAAATGTGGCCTTGATGATAGAAATGACACTGGAGATCACATGATAGAAATTTGCAAGAAATGGCACTGGAGATCACATGATAGAAATTTGCAAGAATGATGAGTTATTCATTGCAGATACCTTTTTCAGCAACACAAACAGCAGCTATACCCATGGACTTCGCCAGACTGAGTACACAGGAATCAGATTGACTGCACAATGGAGAAGGCCAGTATCTTCAGCTGAAACAAGGCCAAGAGCAGATTGTGGAACAGACCATCAACTGCGCATATGCAAGTTCAACTTGAAGTTAAAGACAGTTTAAACATGTCCACGAGAGCCAAAATATGACATTGATTCTATCCCTCCAGAATTTAGAGACCATCTAAAAAATAGATTTGATATATTGAACACCAGTGACCAAAAACCACAGGAATTGTGGGATGACATCAAGAACATCATCCAAGAAGAAAGTAAATGTCATTAAAAAACAGGAAAGGAGGAAGAGACCAAAACAGATGTCAGAAAAGACTCTGAAACTTGCCTTGAATGGAGAGTAGCTAAAGCAAATGGAAGAAATGACAAGATAAAAGAGCTGAACAGAAGATTTCAAAGAGCAACTCTAGAAGACAAAGTCAGTTATTAAAATGAAATGTGCAGAATATTGTTGTTAGGTGGGGCAAGATGGAGGACTAGGCAGAAGGATTGCACAGACCCTCTTCAACAAAGAAAAGGGAAACCAATTAACACAGACACAGAAGATAATCTT